CAGTTCGACCCCTTACCAGTTCGAACTTGTAACAGTTCGATTCTGTCCGCGTTCTGTTCTGGTAAGTGTGCGAAAAAAGGACTGTTCTGAATTGAATCAGTTCGATTCTAGGTCTGTTCGATTTTGAAAACGTTCGAATTCGTCGTTCCCCCGAAAAATAAACGAAAGGTGGGAGCAATAATACATGAGGGATTATATGAATTAGCATAAGTTGTTCAATGAAACAAGCTAGAAAATAATAAGTGGTTATTCACATGAAGCAATCGAGGGGGATGGGAGGCAAAAAATTATTATTTACAGGATAATTCTAGAAAGGTTAGAATGAATTTGATCAAAGGAGATTTTTATGATCTCGTCTTGGGTGCCTTCGATGCTCTTCAGAGGAGTTTCGAATGTGAGATGAATCGTAGCGAGCTGCTTTTGGTTCTTCTCGAGAAAGTCCGTCAATATCTCTGTTCCATGTGTTGGGACGATTGTACACGGATGACCTAAAGCAAAAGATAAGGTTATAGAAAGAAAGACTTGGTTAGGCTTACAGTCTTCACACCACGTCTGCTTCGCACGAACCACTGCTTGAAACTGTGCCTCAGAAACTTTATCCGTTGGCAATATCATTTTTCTCGATCGGACCTTCGACATAAACTCTTGGAGGTGTGCATCTGTCACAGTCTTGTCTCCGCCTGGTACCTTCACCAGATCGAAGTAGTAGGGACGAGCGAATCTTCCATTCTTAAGTCCGATCGTATTTCCTCTTCCTGGTGGCATATGGAGAACTTCTTTCGCAATATCTGGAGTAGGAGTGGAACATTGGCGTTGCTCTTCACTTCTTTGCGGTGTATTCACTGTTTTGTTAGGCTCAAAAAATGCCTGATCACTTGAAGTCATACTCCAATCACCCGAGAGTTTCGAATCATCGGGAAGACTTTCGTTTCCTTGTTTCGATTGATCCTCTGATGAGATTGCATTTGGACTACAAGATGTATTTGTGAACGACTTCAATGCATCGTTCACTGCTTCAGTGGCAATGTCGTCGATGATCCCGAGCGTATTCGACTTCAGACCAGCTTCTCGATGTTCAACTGGAGTGAACGATTTCAGAGCCTCTTCTATAGCGATGTTGGCCAGATCTTTGATCATCCCAATCGTATCGTTGCTGAGATGCAATGTCTGGAGCCCGTCGGAAAGTTTCCTCACATTCACCGTTTTCACTGCCTCCTGCTTGACTTCTTCCACTAAATCGCTGCTCAGTTTCTGGATGTATTCAATTGATGATTCATCGAGATCAAGCTTCTGGAGAATGTCTTTCATTTTTTGACGAATTGCTATCGGCATAGCATCGTTGATAGCTTCCTGGCTCAAATTTCTAGCCATCTCGCTCAACTAACTCCTGATGTTCAAGTTGTTCAATTCTACAGATAGTTTTGTCATGTCTGATTCCACTTGAGGTGTAGTCTGACAGCTTTTCAGTTGTGGTTCATTTGCAGTCGTGACAGGTTTCATCGTTTCCGACACATCTTCAGTATCATCCAGATTCAAGACAGCAAGATTTTTCGAAAACGATTTGATGATTTTAGAATCATCATCCACGGCGATTTCCGCGGTTCTATCATCATCGAGCACGACTGTGTTGTTTACAGGTGAATCAGAGAGCACTATTGTGTTGTTTACAGATTGTTGAAGAGAAGTTACCTGAAAGAAGTAAATTGTCATAGTTCAAAAAAAAACAAATTTCGTACCCGCTGTGACTTTACAGGAGTCGATTCAACTTCAGTTTTCACCTTTTCTAGGACTGTCACTGTCTGAACAGGAGTTTCTGAAACTGGAGCTGTCGAAACCGGAGCTTATTGAGCTTGAGCTTTCGGCACATCTTTTGGAACATTCACTGTATTGGAAGACTTCTTCGACACAATCGCCCATGGTTTAGTTGCTTGCTCAGACTTTTTCGGATGCGCTACCGAGGACTGTTTTGGAGCTGATTCATTTCCTTGAGCAGAATTCGGACGAGACTGGGTGGAGCTGGAGCTTGTTGTTGCCGATACAGGCGCTTTTCGTGGGAGAGGCGGTTTCGGTCCTTTAGCTGGTGCTCTGAATGAAGTGGAGCTTTCAGCGCTCGAGCTGGTGCGACGGTCGCCTTTGGAACAACCACAGAGCCATCGGATCCTTGACGAGACGTTCTGCCTGCAGCCGCAGTCATGATCCTCTGACGAGCTGCAGGAACTGGTGCATTGAACCTCGATGCATGAGGAGGTTTTCCGACAGGTGGAATAGACTTTCGCGCCGTTGTTGGAGTAGGAATTTCTTTGAGCACATCTCTCGACTTCACAATCGGTGCATTCAGGAATGGAAAGAACTTCGCTGCTTTGTCCAGAGATTCTTGAATGCGAAGATGTGAACATGATCCTGGAAACGAATACTAGATATGAAAAATTAATTCACAGCACTCACCATATATAAGAGCTCGGACTACAGCTTTGTCGGCCAAGACTGGTCTCCACATTAACACAGCAATTGTCCCGCATTCCGAAGCGACCCTTTCCACGTCTTCTTCGTTTCCAGAAGATAAAGCTTTCGCGATAGCTTCGCCTTCTCGCTTTGTTCCAGCCAAAACGTACAATGAAAGCGTCCCTTTTTTGACACATTGATATATAATATGTGCTGGATACTTTGGATCGAAAACTGGCATCTTCGACAGAGACTTTGAGGTGACATCCTGGATAATCTTGAACACTTCTCCACTGCCTGCGATTGAACAGCGATTGTTGTGTGTTCCTTGTAGAACAGCGATTGTTGTGTGTTCCAGCGATTGGAGAGTTTTCCAATCTGGCTGAAAATATGGCGAAAACTGGAGAAAACTATAGGAAACATTTTGCCAAAGTTTGGGGTCAAAATATCAACTTTAAAAATTTGGCTGGAATTTCGAGGAGTTTTTTTTCCTTTTTTGCCGACTCCCTGAATAACCCTATTACAGAAAAACTTGAGTCGGGTATCGTTACGACTTTACAAAAGTATTGTAGCTATCTTTTTATAACGACATTGCGAGTCTCATCAATGCAATTAATCTGATAAATTAAAGGAAATCCCACATTGACATCGTTCCGATGCCGTAATAAGATCAAGTACAAAAGCAAAAAGGTATTGCCCCGGACGGGATTCGAACCCGTGATCGGTTGCCCGAATGAGAACATAAGTCTCACGCCTTCGACCACTCGGCCACCGGAGCACATATTTTGAAAAATGTGCAACTGGGTGAAAAGGGACCTTTTTGGGGTAATAAACGTGGTTTCCGGGGTAATCGAGTACGAGGAACACGATGAAAACAATATCTGAGTGAGGACGATCATAACTTGTGAAAACAGCAGAAAACGCGCAAGTTTTTTTTGTAGTCTAGTTATACTCTGAACACACGATTACATTGCCACTGAATCAAACGCCAGACAGAATGAAAATGATTTTCTTTTTTTCTGACGAATAGGAATGCACTAGAACAGGTCTTAATAGTTCTTCTCATCATAAAACTAAGTCGTAATTACATGAACGCATGTATCAGATAAGATCGATGAGGCGTAACGGCTCAGCAAAGAATGGACTTTTGTGAGGAGTAATCTAAATGTTCCGGTACAAAGGAAACAGTGATAATGTGAAAAGTTTGACAGTATAAAACTTGAAATTTGTAGAGAATTTTGGTTTTTTTTCGGATCAGATCACTAATAAACTTTTACGTGCTAAAATTTCATAAATACAGTCTGGTCAGACAGCTAAAAAGACATCAAGAAAAAGAAAGCAAAAAGGTATTGCCCCGGACGGGATTCGAACCCGCGATCGGTTGCCCGAATGAGAACATAAGTCTCACGCCTTCGACCACTCGGCCACCGGGGCACATATTCTGAAAAATGAGCAACTGTGTTAAAAGGGACCTTTTTGGGATAAAAACGGAGTTTCCGGGGTAATCGAGTACGAGAAACACGATGGAAACAATATCGGAAATATTAGAAGAGCCTGAAGTCATGAAAATCGTTAGATCTTTCAAATTCACAGTCGTAGTTTTGTTTCGAACGAACGTTGACACGGGTTCAAACGCTAGAGCGACAAAAAGAACAATACATCTTCTCTGACCAACAAAAATACATTACTAGTAAATGGCAAAGACCATAAAATTAGATTTTGTTTTTACATGCTTTTGTTTTCTTCTTTCTTTAATTAAGTAAATATATCACTCCTGAAAACAGTGCAACAGGCAACAATATTTAAATGTTTCGAAAAAAATGTTTTCATGATAATTTCACAAATTAATAAACTTTCACACCTTCAAGTCTTTCACTACTATATTGTTTCCATCGTGTTCCTCGTACTCGATTACCCCGGAAACACCCTGTTCACCCCAAAAAGGTCCCTTTTAACCCAGTTGCTCATTTTTCAGAATATGTGCCCCGGTGGCCGAGTGGTCGAAGGCGTGAGACTTATGTTCTCATTCGGGCAACCGATCGCGGGTTCGAATCCCGTCCGGGGCAATACCTTTTTGATTTCTTTTTCTCGATTATTAAAATAATCGAGAACGTTATTAAGTTATTTTTCAGCTGTTTGGCTAGTTTTTTTTTGAAAATTTACAACTGTTTGAAGGGAAGGGACATTTTCGGAGTAGAAACAGGTAGTTTGGGAGTAATCGAGTATTTGTGGAAAACACGATTAGAAAGTTAACAGAACAATTTGGAGAATTGAAATAGGTGTATATTTTCTATATTTAAGATTTTTTTTCTGTATTTCTGTATTTCTATATTTTCTGTATTAAAGAGAAATATCATATTTAAGATCTCCACAGTTTATTCAGAATTGTAGTTTATATTTCAGAATGAGTGGAGCTGTGAGCTCCACCTGTATTTTCGCTTCCTTTACCGTTCTATTTCCCTTTTTCTCACTTGATCCTTTCTTTTCTTTTTTTTCGTCCGCTCAGCGAAACTTTCACACATTTATTAATCCGCATTTTTCGCGCCTCTTCTTCGAATTTTCCTTCCGTTGACTTCCGGACAAGAGACTGCCATCTCTCTGCCTTCTTCCGAAAAGTTTGCTCTTTTATTTCGAAAGACAAGACGCGTAAGTGATAGGGTTGATTTATGCTTCTCTCCCCTGTACCTCCCGTGGTGGGCAAAAGCTTGAATACTATCCAATTTCACATGTGCACTTGTCACTTTCAAGGAGCAGGTGCAGAGAGGAAAAAAAGAAGCGAGCATGGATACAAATACAGTACAGAGGACATCGTATATCCAATTACTTCTTGAACTGACTGGACTCCCTTATGTTTCTTTACTTGTTGTATTACAATGAAAAGGAGCGATTCGGCGTATCAAGTACTATTTGTTTACCGAGATTCTTTTTTATGCGATTGCTTTTTCAACAGTTAAAAGATCTTACACTTTCCAGTGCACAGGAAAGGGGAATTCGAACAAAAATGTGCGTTTTACTAGATGAAGCGGAATGTGGAAAAAAGGGAATTACTACAGTATCGCTTCAACTTGTAATGAAGTGTAGCATACCAAGTTGGCTGGTTTTTTAGAACTTTAATTGGACTCTTTTCAGAACTTCAATTGGTACTACAAAATCTGAAACCAAAAACCTGAAAAGCACAATTTTCTGAAATACATATTGGAGAATGAAGAACATTTTAATTACTGTAGAATTTGGCAACTGTCAATTGATATCTTCCAAGAAATGATCCCATGTGCTGAACTGATGCAGTCTTTCTAAATTCGCAAAAGGTCTTTTCACTTAAGCAAAAGTACGATCAGAAAAACTAAACTACCGTAAAACCTGTAATAGAAGGATCCCCTAACTTTTTAACTTTGATCCCATATATCTCATTTCCTGTCAAAGATACGAAAAAGTTGTCAACTTACAAAACGCTTCTGATATTATGATAAACACTTTATCAGTTGACTTATTTTTGATTCTTTATATAGAAGCCAAGAAAATTCAGTTCAAACTTGACAATGTGGTGACCTTTCTAAATATTAGCGATTTCACAGTATGTGGTAACCGTGGTTCTCATTCAATGCTACCCTAATGTTCACTCGTATCTCTCTTTATCTTTTTCTTTTCCTTTCCTTTCATGCTCCTCGTATTTCTCCCCCAAATGGATGCCCCCGATGCCTTCCTGTAAATCCGTTTTTTTCTCCTCTTGCACCACCACCCCCTGATCGGCAAGCCATCATAAACAACAACGGCTTTCTTCTCGGATCGTCCATCCAAATCAGTCTCCTCTATTTCTCATCGCTCTCCTTTTCAGTTTCTTTTCTGACTGTGAATCCATCCAGACACATATTTACCTCCTCTTCTCTCCGCGAGCGCGCGCCCTTCTCGAGTCGTCCGCGAGCTCCCCCTCCTACCGATTCATTCTTGCTCTCTCTCCGATCGAGCAACACTCCTCAGCCACCGTATGTAGATACATTCTTTTCTCCCAACCCTCCCCCGGTCATATCTCATACACACATACGTACATACAATAATACAACAACACTTCTTCTTCATCTTCTTTTTGTTCGTTTTCAAATCGTTTTCTATTCATGGTCCTCTTTCCATTACTCTTTTTACTCTTCTTCCGAAGAGTCAATGCACTCACATTCCCTCCATCTTCCTCATCAATTGCTCCAGTGTTCTGCCTCCAACCGTTTGTACCTGAAAATGCTCATGTCATATTCAACGAGCCGGGTCCTTATGCAAAGGATACTGTAGCCAAATACAGGTAAAACTTCAAAGACTCAAAATTCAAAACCGTATCGGTTTCTTCTCCTTTTCCTCCGTTTTTTCCTGTTTACCGACCTGATTTGCGCACCTTTTCTACCGGAGAGAACACGTTGTGCCACCGGCTAAATTTCGATGGTTTTTTATGCTTGACGTGTGAAATGTGATTCCTGGCTATGAGATGATGACTGGTTTTGAGTGAGCGATCTCTCGTTCCAGAAGAGCAGGATCTCAAAAGTTCAAAATCTCAAAATATTCAGAAATCAGGAAAGTTCAACATACCGTAAATCGTGTAATAGAAACACCTCACACTGTCAAATTTGATCTCATTTTTCTAGGCTACTATGCAAGATATCAAAAAGTAATCTGGCAAAATATTCCTGATATTATGATAAACAATTTATCAGTTGACAAATTTTGATACCTTTGTCAGGAGCCGAGAAATATTCGCTCAAGCTTAAAAGTTAGAGGGCCCTTCTATTACAGGTTTTACGATAAGTCTATTTTGGATTATTGAAATAGTGACATTGTTTTAGTAAATTTTGCAATGCTCTCAAAATTGTAGTGATTCAATAGCCCTCTTTTATTAAACTCCTCGAAGGAGAAGTTGAATCTCAATATTTTTTTTTCATATTCTATACTATTTTCAGAATTTTGACATTCATCAGTTAACATTATTAGTTGATTATGATTTATTTTTCAATGCTTTACAATATTTCAGAACAGTAGAACTTTCAAGAAAAAGCAATGATCCCCAAAATTCAAATACCGTAAAAACTCTAATAGAGCACCACCCAACCCCGTCACCTTTAAGCACATATATCTCCCTCCCTGTAAAAGATATCAAAAAGTTTTCAACTGCCAAAATATCTGTCATATCATCAAAAATATTATATTTTTTGACAACTTCTGAATATCTTTCACAAGGAATGAGATAAATGAGGTCAAATTGAACGGCTTGTTTAGGCTACCATTAGAGGAAATATGGTATTCTCAAACCCAAAGCGAAATTCAAAAAATCTTCCTAATCTTCTCTCCAGTACATTCCCTTTTTCCAGTTGTGCTCTTGGTTTCGATCTAATTGGATCAGAAGAACGAACATGTCTGTCCGATGGCTCGTGGTCCGACGAACCGCCCATCTGTGCGATCGACGTGGGATTCAACAAGCCAGTGACTCAATCATCCGGTAATGTGGCAATGGCACTTGGAGGCACAATGTGCACAATGACTAATGATGAGTCAAAGTCTTTTTGGTTAGTTGAAAAAAAGAGCGAATAAAAAAAGACTTTTGGTTTTCAGGGAAGTGGATTTACTTGGAGACTATTCAATGAGATCATTGTCGATGAGATTGGGACCAAAATCATCTCCAATCACGTCAGTGGAAGCAATTGAGACGGCTGGAGCAGTTCATGTTAGTTTTTTTTCTTGGAAAGCTAGAGACATATACTTTTCTTTTACTCCTGTATCGTGAAAACTGTGATAGAAAAACCAACACATTGTCAAGTTTGAGCTGATTTCCCTTGGCTCCCATGCAAGATATGAAAAAATGTTGAACTGACAGAACACTTTTGATATTATGATGAACAATTTATCAGTAGACAACTTTTTTTATATCTTTGACAGAAACCGAGAAAAATTGGCTCAAAGTTAAAAGTTAGGTGGCCCTTCTATTACAGGTTTTACGGTATGTAGATTAATTTTCATCTAACGATTTGCTTACTGTAGGCTATTTGTAAATACTGTAGAATTTAGGAAAGTTATAAATCGCAGAAAAACCATTCATGTTTCCCAATTATAACAATGTCTATGAGCAAAATGAGAGATAAGAAATCACCATCTAACTACAGTAATACAAGTATCGCTTTGCACAATTTCGTTGGACAATTTCGTCAGAGATTCGTTCCTTTCAATAATCCCAAAACTTCACTGCTGGCTTTACAGTTTATCTCCTACAAAAAGTTTATTTCCAGCAATGTATTGTGGATTCTTCTCTGTTCACAATCAATCAAACAACTTCAATCAGTTGCTCATATGATAACATCTCCCGTCTTCGAATCACTGCTACGCGTCGTCTTCACTTGTGCCAAGTAAATGTATATGCTGTGAATGCCGGTAAGCAAGTTCCTCCTCACCCGTTTTCAAGTTTCCATATTCTCAAGATGGCCGTCAAAAGTGCTCAAAACACGTGTTTTTATATTGTCTAAGTCTCTCACTCTTCCCCACACTCTCTCGAATGCCATAATTGGCTCTGGTCAACAAAAAAGCATTGTCGAATGAGAGCTCACAGTCATTTTTCGCTTGTTTATTCGGACAGCAGAAGGAAAAAAGAAAGAGAGAGTGCGGGTTTGACACTGAACATGTCGGATTATCGCGCTCTCTTTTCTCAATGATTTATTGAAGAACATCTGAGAAATTGGGAGAGAAACTCAAAGACTTTGGGAGAGAAACTCAAAGAATCGCAAAAGAAAATAAACCAATCACGAAGTATTGTTCATTTACCATTACGAAGCAAGTAGGAAATTTGGGTAAAATTGGGATTGTGTTGCATCTGCACGAATTTTCAAATATCCAAAAATTAATTTACAAACTGAAAAATATATTTTTGGCTGATTTTTCCCTCTGGTTTAAAAGAAAATAGGGATTTCTAAAACTCGGCTCTCTAACAAAGTGCACTCAAACCGTCAACTTCGAAATCATATATCTCGGTTTCTCTGAGAAATATCAAAAATGTGTCAACTGATAAAATGATGATGATCTTAAAATTGATAAACAATTTATTAGTTGTCAACTTTTTTATATCTTTTACAGGAACCGAGATATATAAGCTCAAAGTTAAAGTTCGGTGCCATTGCATCTGCAAATAGTTTCGAAGATCGCAAAGTTAATCTACGAAATGAACATGATATTTTTGTTGATTTTTTTTGGTTCTGTAGGAAAATGGGGATTTGGGAAAATTGGATCTAACCTGTAGTCCAGGTCCCACAACGAAAACTACAGTAACCTAAAATATGTTCACTTTCTTAGTGTTTTCTTAACAATAGAAAAATCAACAA